AAAAAAAAAAACGAAATGTCTTCCTCAGTTTTGCCAGCGGGGAGGCCAAGGGCTGGATTCTAGCTCTGCCTTTCTCTGATCTTCCCCAGCAGAGGAAAACCAAGCAGGGTTCCCACTCGCTTGGAGGAGAGCACGGACTCTCACTGATGGGCTGGTCCCCCCTGTGCATGATCTAGGGGAGGCTGAAGACCCTCTTTTGGTGCCAGACATTCTCTCCTCAGAGCTCCTTCCTGCCACTGGCAAATCTATACCCGCTAACAGAAGCCGGCAATTTTAGGCCTCATCATCGCCAGTGGATGGGTAGACGTGAATTTCTGTGGTGTGGAAACTCAGAGGAATTTACGTCCACCTGGGCACAGGAAGGAAGCCAGACTGTGACAGTTGTATGCTCTGAAGAGAACAAGCTTAGAGAAGGTTCTGGACCCACAGAGCCATCTACTGAGCTCCTGTATGTACGGGGGGAGTCAGGAAGAGAAGGCAGGAGAAAAATGGCCATGGTGGAGGATGACAGAGTCAATGTGGGAGGCCAGCCCGTGAGTCACAGTCTCCAGTGCGCAGCTCTTTCCTGGTAGCCTCACTCTTCCTGGGCCTTGTGAAGCCCTGGCTGCCACTCTCCAACCCCACCTGTATACCCGGATGCCAGGTAAGAAAGCCACAGGAAGTGGGGTCAAGTCCGGGACAGAACACGGTCACCCTGCCTGCTGGGGGCAGACCCTGAAGGATGGCTCGCATTTCAGCCCAGTCCAGTTCCACAGCTTTCCAGAGTTCAGGAAGAAGCCTGTGAAGAGAGGCCTCTCTTTTAATTGAGGAAAGAGCCCTTTATATACATACTGTGATTCGGTGTCTTTTTATTTAAAGACCTCATTGCTAAGTATATTTTTTAACTTTTTAAATCACTCATATTGCCCAACCTTGTCCCCAAATGAGGGATTAAAAACCCAGACAGGGTCTGGGAGCTGCCTGAGGACAGCAGTGTGTAGTAGCAGATCCCAGAGCCAGGGACCCAGGATCCTTGTGTTCTCCAGCCCAGGGCTCCTTCCACATGCCAGGGTGGGGCTCGCTTTGCAGCTGCTGTGTCCAAGAGAAGGGAAGGGAGCGAGGCTAGGGCTCAGGAATGAATGCTGCAGCCCAGCTCATGGGCTCCTGGAAATCTCAGCTAGCAAGGACCCCTCCTGACACCCCACACCCACACCACATGGAGCCACTCATGGCCCAGTTCTTCCTCCACCAGAGGGTGCCGTGCACCCCAAGTAGCCAACTGGGTAAGGCCACTCCTTGCTTAGCAGCACCAGGCTGCTCCTATCACTTCTCTGACTTCCTTGGCTATAAAAAATACAGAGTGGCCTATAGTCTCTGCCATATGGGAGGCTGAGGCAAGAGGATCCCTTGAGCCCAGAAGCTCAAGGCCAACCTAGGTGACATAGTAAGACCCTCACCTCAAAACAAATGAGAGTAAAAAATAAAGAGCAGAAACCTTCTAAAACTTTCTAAAAGTAAGGATGTGGGAAGTCCATGGCTCCTACAACCATGTCCTTGGCAGAGTGAATTCCAACCCTGCTCTGGGGGCATGTGGCTTGGAGGTACAGTGCTTGCCTAGCATGCCCAAGGCCCTGGGTTCCACCCCCAGCACCACAAACAAAAACAAAACCATGCCGGCTCTGGCATCAGACTGCCTGGGATGAAGTGAATGTGTTTGTGCGCCCCGTAGGTTTGGGTAAGAGCGTTTCTCTGTCCTTTAGTGTCCGAATCTGTAAAATAGAGGTCGTAACAAGTGGACGAACCCCATAAACCAGGTGAGAGAAAGAAGTAAGGTAACACACGCTGAAAGTCTAGGACAGTGTCTGGTAGTGAGTATTGTGGGTAGCTATTCCGTGTGAATGGCTGGCTGCTGTTGTCCCTGCTTCTGTGCCTCTACTGACACCACCCTGACCACCCGGGATATACCTGGAGGGTGGGGCTGGTTGGGGAGAAACCGCTTAGAATAGTGTCAGTGCTCATGCGCCTTGACTTTCGCTGGGGTTGGGCGCATAAACCCATCATGAACGGCAAGTATCATAAGCCAAAAATGCATTTAACACACCTAACTACCGAACATCCTGGCCTAGCAACACAGTGTGCAGGAGAATATCAGTTGTTTCCCATCCCGATCTCAAGGTTGACTGGGAGCCATGGTCCAGCATCTCTAAACTGCTGGGCCGCACATCAACAGCCCCAGAAAAAGATCAAAATCCCAAAGTAGACCAGCACAAGTGCCTGCACTTATGAAACGGATGCATGTAATATACTGGAGCCCCTTTCTCCACAAACCCTCCTCACCCCCAGCAGCTCCCCTCGAGGGCTGCGAATGAGTGAATGATGGCTGCTCCTTGTTTGATGTCCAGTAATAATGAGCTTGTACGCAGGTGAGTCACTCCCACCTGTTCACAGTCTGTGCTTCCCACACAGCCCTACAATTCCAGAGCCATACAGTCAACCATCCTGAAAATGTGTTCATTCAACAAACATTAATTGGGTGCGTGGCAACCTACTGATTCACAGGTCGAAAGAGGGTAAAATATTATTTAGCAGCTACCCAGGAACAGGCAGGTAACAATGTTATTGCACACGCGTTTCTTAAGTGCCTGTCCTCTGATCTTGAGCAAACTATACTTATGTGACTTTGATTGTGAATTAATGAGAGCCAGCTAATCTTCCAGAAGATTTCAGTTTGTAGTTTTAGTTAAAAGCCCTTTAGCCTTCACAAAGGAGGACTTGTCTTTCTGGGTTGGGCTAACTCCTTCGCTAGTTACAAGTTTTCTGTGTGTTTAAAAAGGGGCGGTACTCTGTCAAATATACCCTTAAACATAGGCTGAAAGCGGGTGAAGTCCCACCTACTTTCTGTGACGTCATGAAGCCCGGCCTCTGGTTGCTCGCTGCCCACGTCAATCGCGGGGCGCGTGTCTTGCTGGGACACAGTGGAGGTCTAGCCTTTGGTTTACGGAGCGGTCGGGTGTGTTCTCCGTACATCCCAAGCCCTCGAGGTACCCGCCGCCCGACCCAAAAGTGGAGCCGACCAGCGCCTCTCGTGGCACCTTCCAGCACCGGATCGCTCCTCTCTGGGGCGGGACGCGGCCCCACGACTCAGGTCACTATGGTCAGTGGCGCTGGGTAGAAACTGGGAGAGGGAGCAGGGAGGGGACGCGGGGGCGGGGTCGCCGACCCGCGCATGTGCGATTGCGGGCTCTGTCCCCTGCTCCTTCCCAATGGCATTCAGACCCTTGAAACCCTAGTCCTAACCGGCGCCCGACATCCGGGCGCGCCCCACTGTCTCCCCGGGCCGCCTTAGGAGGAACAGCCTGTCCCAAGGCCCCGGTCCCCAGCGCGTCCTCTCCGGGTGCCACCTGAAGCGGCACGGTAGGTGCCCTCGACTGCAGCAGGAATGGGAACCCCCAACGCTTCGGGTCCCCGGCTTTGTTAAGGAGCCCTCCTTCCGCCCGCAGCACGCGGCCCCGCCCTGAGGACTCCGCCATCGGAGACCACTGCCTCCCGCCCCTCTGCCCAGGGCTGGACCTAGGGCTTGCACGGGTCATGGGGTCGGTCGCTTGACCCTTGGGTGGCTAGACATTTGTTCCATCCCTGGCTGTCAACAGGTCTTTGGAGCTAGGACCCACGTGGGAAGGCTGCCTCAGGTTACAGCAAGTGAGTTAGGGGTCCAGGGAAAGCAGCCCAGAAGAAGCCCTGATTCAGAGTCCTGGCCAAGCAGAAAGAGGAGAGGGAAAGTGCTGGAACCGACTGTGGTGGTGTACCTGGACTGGGAGTTGAATCCAAGCCTGGAGTGATCTTTTTGTTACATCAGGTTGCCATGGGGGTCAGGCATCTTGCAGGGACTGCCTGTGGTGGTTACCCCAGACCCTGAAGCCCTGAGCGTAGCTCCTGGAAGCTTGTAGACTGTGGGCCCTGACGAATGTCTCCCTCCTGCCCCTTGGAAAGTGAGAAGTGTGGCTGGGCTCCCTCTGCACATCTGTGTTCTGGGCTGCTGTGAGGACCTCCCGAGGTCACGGTGTGGAGCATGGGTGTTTAAGCCACAGGCTTTGCTGTGATAACCGAATCCTGGAAATGAGTGTGCACTGGTGCCTGCTTTTTCGAGCTTGGCAAGAAAATGGGTCTCTACTGCAGGATGCTGTGGAACTGGGACATGGGTCAGCCTGCTCTGAGTGTGGCATGGGCAGCCAGGGCCCTTGAGCTGCACTGCCCTGGACTTGCTGGTGTGCTGGGGTGTGGCTGGGGGGGCAGGGCATCTGGAAGCCTCAGTTTCCTGCTTCTTCCTGGTGCCCAAGGGCACTAGGAATGGGCCCATCTGCTTTGATTGGAAACACAAAGCCCCTTGGGAGAGAGCAGGTGCTGCTGCTGAGAAGGCTGCAAACAGAGTGTGTGTGTGTGTGTGTGTGTGTGTGTGTGTTGGGGGGTCCTATGCCCACTCCAGATACAGTTAGCACTTGGGGAATGAGTGAGAGTCAGACATGAAGACTAAAACCTCGGGTTTTACCATGCGTTATCCTATCATTTATCAAACAAGCCCTCTGTGTGCATGAGGAGAAGTGAGGAGCCAAAGTGCCTGCCTCTCTGGGAGCCTGATGCCTGTTGGCCAGGCCAGAGCTGGACAGGCAGACCCTGAGAAAATGACATAGCCTACATGGCTGACCAGGGCTGTGGGAGCACAGTGCACTCTAAGAGAGTGGGGAGTGCTGGCAGGGGAAGGCTTCCCTGAAGAGGTCTTAAGGAGGGTATTGAAGGATGTATAGGAGTGTTCAGAAAGGATTCGAAGGAGAGTACATTCCAAGCAGCAGGGACCATGGGCTTTTTGGCCTTGAAATACAGCCAAGCGTGAGGTATCCTAGCAAAAGTCAGCAGCCTCTGTAGGTGCAGGGAACTTGGGGGAGCCTGAGGTGAGTCTGGAACCTTTAGTGGGGTAGGAATGAAGGGCGGAGGGACCATCACATTGAGGACAAGTAAAAATGGTCTCAAGTGGACACCCTTGCAGTGAAGTTGACACAAGTTGTGGTGGCCAGGCTGGAGCCGGAGACCTGTTTCACCTGGTAATGCAGTGTGTATGTTTCTGGGGCTGCTGTAACGGGCACCATGCTCTGGGTGGTGTGGAATAGTAGGAGCTTGTTATCTCACTCAGGGGAAGACAGAAGTTTAAGATGGAGCTGTGTATAGGGCCTCAATGCCTCTTAGGGTGCTGTGGGGTGGGGGTCTGGCCCAGCCTCGCTCTCAGCTTCTGGTAGCTCTTGGGCCTGTGGCAGAGCACCAGCACGTGGTGTTCTCCCTGCCTGTGTCTAAATCTCCCCTTTTATAGGGACACCAGTCATAGGATAGAGGCCTGCCCTGCTCCAGTGTGACCTCGTCTTAACTACTTACACCTGTAGTGACCCTGTTTCCAAATAAGGTTACATTCTGAGGTCTGGAAGTTAGGACGCCAGCGTGTAAATTCTGGGGACCCAGTTCAACTTGTAACATTGTCGATTTTTGGAGCATTCCCGTGTGCCCTGCACTGGAGACTCAGCAGGGACAGGTGAAGTCCCCGTCATCATTGACACTTAGCAGAGGGAGACAGGGTGTAAATAAACAAGTGGCCATGTCTTATCATGGCCTGCAGTACCGAGGCAAGGTAAGGCGATAGGGATGGGTGGGGAGGCCCGGGAGGCCTCTCTGATGGACGGCATTGCCCAAGTCATATGAAGAGGCAGAGTAGCACCCCAGGAGAAGGAACAGCAGGTGGAAAGGCCCCGAGGTAGACATGGGAGTGTCCTGCAGGAGGAACTGAAAGAGGGCCAGTGTGGTTGGGATTCAGAGCAAGGGCCAAAGGAGGCTGGAGCTGGGAGATTGTTGTCAAACCATTGAGTCTTTCTCTAAGGGAGGAGGCTTTTGGGGAGTGTCTTTTATCTCCTGCTGCTGTAATCAATACCATAGACTAGGGAATTTATAATGACTGGAAATGTATTGCCTTCCAGTCCTGGAGACTGGGAAGCCTGAGATCACTGGTTAATGTTCTTGCTGTACCCTAATGTGACAGAGGTGGAAGGGTAGGCGAGAGGCCGGAGATAAGGGGCTGGGCACATCTGCTCCTATGAAAAGGCATTAGCCCAGCCCTGATGGGAAGCTCCCATGGCCTAATCACTTCTTCAAGCTACCAACTCTTACTACTATTATAGTAACAGAGAAATTCCAACATGGGTTTGGGAGGGAACATCCAAGCCACAGCATCCTGCCTTTACCCCCCCCCCATTGTGTATTTCTCTCATACAAAATTCACTCCTTCCATCCGGGGTCTTAATTTATTCCAGCCCTGCACAAAAGCCCAAAGTCCAGAGTCTCAAGTGAGCCTGGTATGTGTGGGACTCAGAAAGGTTGCATCCTGAGGCAGATCACTCTCCAGCTATGCAGCATGAAGTTTCACAAATTGGGCACATCCAGGACACCATGGCAGAACAGGCCTAGGACAGACCCTGCCTTCCAAAGGAGAAGTAGGCAAGAAGGAAGGGGCACTAGTCCAATACCCACTAGGGGGAACAACATTAAATCTTGAGGTTCTCAGAATAACTCTTATTTCCTGCCTCCTGGACCCAGTGGGCACAGGTTGGGCCTCCAGGACTTTGAGAAGACCATGATATGGCTTTGCTTGGCCAAACGTTGGACCCTCATGTCTGCAGCTTTCTCAGGCTGCTGGTGTACACTGGTAACTTTACAGGCAGGATCACGATAGCTGTCCTGTTCCTAGGGCTCCACAGAAATTACTGTGGTGGGAACTCTCTCCAGTGGCCTTGCCCCATGACAGGTCTTTGCCCCCAGACTGTCTGCAGTGTCCTTTGAGATCTAGACGGAGAAAGCCCTAGCTCCACAGCTCTGTGTTCTGTAGGTCTGCAGGGCAGTCCCACACCCAATGTACCACAGGTCATGCTGTGGCCACTGAGGCCTTAAAATTGGTACATGAATGAATGTCCCATGTATGACTGTACCATCAGTGGTACAAGCTGTCCAATGGGAGAGTCGTGCATGTACTACTGGTGGTTCAAGTCAATGGGAATGTGTTAAAAGAAGACACACAACAGTCTGGCTGCTTTGCTGCTTAGAGAGTTCTTCCACCAGCTATCCTAGCTCATTGCACTGAAGTTCTGTCTTCCACAGATCCCTTGGGAAAAGTTATCTGTCACCTTATGATGAGGAAGGCCTTCCTTATTTCCAGCTGAGACCTAATCAGCCTGACCTTTATTGTCCAGATTTGTATCAGCACTCTGCTCACGGCCACTTAAGTAATCTCTAAGAAAATTCAGACTTTCCCTACAGCTTTTCTCTTCTTGAGCCCAACCTAGGCTTGGCCCTTAGTGCTCCATTCATAGTGATATAGTCTCCAACATGCACTTCAGAACTGTCCCAGCCCCTGCCCGTCACCCAGCTCCAAGGACACCACCATTACTATTTTCAGGCATTTGTTAGAGCAACAGTCACTCTAAGAAAATATCACAAACTGAGTAACTTATAATGAATACAGATTTATTAGGCAAATGGTTCTGGAGGCTGAGAAGTCCAAGAGCAAGGTGCTAGCATCAGACTAGCGTCGTCTTGCTATGTCATAAAACAATGGAAGGCATCATATGGTGAAAGGAGAGAGCTAGTGAGACCAAGAGGGAATGAATGTGCTCTACGATAATGACTAATGGCAGTAGTCCATTCATGAGGGCATAGCCCTTCCTTTTTACTGCCATTGTAGTGGCAATTTAATCTCAATTCTATTTTGAGAGCAGGCAGGTGTCCTCACCATAGCAGAGGATATTGAGGAAGGGTGGCGTCTCATCTCTTAAGCAGTGTGCACTGGCTGTTTGTGGAGAAACCATCATGATGGGTCAGGAACAGAGGCCAGGAGATGGGTTGGATCGACTTTGTTGCAGCCTTCTTGGGAAAGATGGTAGAGGTTTACACTTGGACTCAGAAGCAGAGCCAATGAGGTGGAAAAGTGGAAGAGTGCTCCTAGATTTGGGGGCCATGCTCTGGTTGGGGTATTCTAGGGAGCTGGAGAAGTCTGGGGTAGAAAGGTGGAGCAGGAAAGAGATTAAGGACAGGTGAACTTGGAGATGCTGCTTATATGGAGCCTGG